GGATTATACCATTTGGTGGTCTGGTGGTGTAACCTGTGGTCCACACAGTGGCACGTCGATACTCATACGGTTTTAATATCATTATTAATTTTTGGTGCTTCATAAGCTGCTATTTACTATAGATGGATTTTTATTTGCAGAATTCAGCCGTGCAGCTAGACTTGCGGGATCTTCGGGCACCCAGCCAAGTTCACCAACAGCTGTTGGCTCGGTAGCGCCGTTATTCACCGAATGCAGCTCAGATTCTCATTTGATGCAAAGAAGAGATTCTGGGATCGGATCCAGCCTTTCTCGGTCTCTGAAATTATTTTTTATTCGCGAATGAATATGACTATTAATAATTCGCCTGATCATGATCGCGAGTAAGGCAGGCTGCCAATATGCAGAATATGTTATGATATCGGTTTTATTGCACTTACAGGGTGCATGATTTCTCATGGCCTTTTTGTTTCGGAGTTTTCAATAGTGTTTGTGATCGTTTCGTTCCGTTTATCCAAGATCGCACTTTTTACAGCCATTATCAATTGCTTGATGGCGATTATTACGCGTAGTTGTGCACTCCCCACCTATGTTTGACTACTGGTGCATCTGCTTCTATGCAATAAACTACAAACGGTCTGCCTGAATAACAAGGCTGCGGTTCTTCGATTGCAATTGCGGTTCTCTGCCGTCCATCATGCTACCCAAGTTATATACTAATCTGATGGATCCTTTTCTTTTCACTGAAGTCTGGATGCAAGCGTTGTGAAGGGGCATCTACGCAGCAGTAGAAAATGACAGTTTTCCATTTTTTCGTGGTTGTAAAAAATCCATAGGTTGGGTTATTCGTTCCCCTCTAGAAGATGGCAGAAAGCCGAAGGAAACTTCCACCAACGTGTTTGTATTAGTTCTTCTTGTGCGAATGTTGTTTTTATTTTGCGTAGGCTTTAGCACGCTTATCCGTTGCACAACCGAATACCTGTGCAAGTGAATGGATCCCGTTTGTCAGTGCATTAAATGGCTGCCGCCATCTTAGCTGACCTGATTTATATCCCACTTGCCATTACTGACCGTGTAACTATATTCATGTATCCAAAACAGTACAGACGCTCAGTTGTTTGTTGTATTTTGTTAAATAATGGAACTGTGCTCTGTATATGTTCTAGAATAATATTTCACTCCATAAAAAACATTTCACTAAATAGAAAACAGTTTAACGTTTGTTGGTCTTTGACCGATTATTGGACCATCTGATTATAAACCGACATTGCTCAGTCGTTAGAGCGTGGGACTCAGAATCAGGAAGTCTCGGATTCGAGCCCCGGTGAAGATAACTCGTTCATCTTCCTTTCGACGTAGGTAAATGGGTCCCACTTTGTCGGAAGGAAAAAGGAGACCTCACACTGTGCTTGTCACATTGCTGATGTGGGCTCGGCCTTTACGTGTGGAAATCCTAGTTGATGGCATAGATATGGAGATCAGCTGCCCGCCATGAACTTTATGAAAAAATGGCGGCATCAGAAATGGTCCCCATCATGAAAGTACAAGGAAGATCGTCGCTGAAATGGTTATAAACGTTCTTTTCTTATGGGACATTTGACTGTTGCTAGAAGTTATTGTTCTGATTGTTGCTTGACATCAGCAGACGTTCCTTCCTCTCCTGTATGTATACTTCCGATTTATTTTTTGAGTTCTTGATTAGCGTGCTCTAAATTTATTGTAATATTTATTATATTGGATTCTTTAAGTTTCTACGGATGCAACACGCTTTCACCTGTTCAGCTGGCAGACGGCGTAATGCGCATTTCATTTCAGTTTGTCATGCTCCAGGCGTGAATGATGTTCCTGTATTCACTTCTTTCTGTATATTGATGACAATTGTCTGTTGGTCTTCCCATTTTGGCAATATGGACTAATGCTTTTCTTGCTGTGTTTGTAATGGTGAGGACAATACCCCAAATATTCATTAAAAGTTGTGATATATTTCACTAAAACTTCAGTTCTAAAGCTCTGATCAGCGTTCACTATTCTCAAATGTCCCATGTTCATTTTACACTGAACATTCGACTCTATGGGCAACGTTCCTTTATTATGACTTTAGTATGAATACGTTCAATATAGTCAGCAAACAATGCGTGCAAGTTCCGTGAAAGTTGACGTGAACGGGAAGACAATTTATACTTTGTGAGTACAGCAATATAAGGCAGGTGAAAAAAAAGA